TGTTTTAAGGATCTTGAGTTTCTCAGCAAAGCCTGACATTCCATTCACATTGCTAGACTTTTCCCAATTCAATTTAACCATAGGAATGAAGGTGTCATTAGAAACCCAGCAGTTGAGAAATCTGAACATTTTGGGCCCTTTGTAGGAGTTTATAGCACCTTTAAGGAGGATTGGTTTGTGGTCCGAGCCACTCCTGCTAAGGTGGTTAAGAGTGATGTCATCAAAGAAGTTCATGGCATATGTGTTCACAAGAGCCCTATCCAGTCTCCTCCAGACCTTGCCTTGGGATCTTTTCCCATGCCACGTAAAAATTCCGCCCTTAGGTGAAATGTTATTAAGATCACAAGAAGCAATGCAAGAAGAGAAATCTTCCATACCTTTAAAGCTAGGCAAGATAGGTCCTCTGTGTTCATCTAGGCTGCAAATAATGTTAAAATCACCTCCAACAATCCACGGAGTATCTGAGGATGTATGGCTAATCATAGAGTTCCAGAGAGATTGGCGTTCCCCTTCAGTATGTAATCCGATTACAGCGCCACAAATCCCAGCTCCGGTAATAACCCCATTCCATGGCGCTGCTCCATCTGTGCAAATTGCTGGCCGTACTCACAGACTCGTGGAAGGGAAAGAGTCTCAAACTATACCAAACCCAGAAAAAAGTCCATCAATGGAACCGGTGGAGAAGATGGCCCTTCAAATCAGCTTTGAAGGATTCATATGTCCTCTCCAACACAAGACAGCTCCTAGATGGTGGAGGAGAACACGCCATAGCCACCCTTCCGAGCCGCAACACCACCTTCACTTTCAAAACTCAATCCAAGGTATTTGAGCTATTTCACTCACATTATAATAAAAACTTCTGCATTAGTGAGTGTGGGTACAAAAGATATCAAATATGGTTTGATTTGGATACAATAAATTGGTTGTTGGAATCTATCCCTAGAATTACAGTTAATAGATCCTGGGCTATTTTCTCCTTTGGTAATTCTGTACAATTGAAGTATCTTCTGGATCAAATAGAAGGGGTGACTTCATTAAAATCTTGGAGAAAAGAAGAGAAGGAAAGAGATTCATTTCAATTCCTCTTGGTCTTAAGAATGCTGAGATTAACTTGTTTTCCAAAGCCTTATCTTTCTTCATTGACAAGGTCTCTAACCCGGAACTTTCTAAATCACCCGATAATCTCAAATCTGCCCCTTCTGTACTTCAAGAACCAGTTTCATCTCCAATTTTTTCATTTGGAACTTCAGAACAACCCTCTAATAGCCCTCCCCAATTTGGTGAAGAAACTGCCACAAGGGCAATCAGCAAGCCAGAACCTGTTGAGAGCCAAGGAAACTCTTCTCCTAGCTCCTTGGTGACTGAGGGCGGTTATATTGACTCCTCGAAGGGAGTAGAGGAAATAGCAAAAAGGAATCTAGTCCCTAAGCTCCTTTCCCCCTTCGCAAAGGAATTTATCCCCCAATCCAACTCTTTTAGCGCTCTCTCGCATATTGGAACAGAAGAACCTGTTTTGGTTACAGAGGAAGATCCTTTCAAAAATTTAAATGAGAAAAGTTTGGTTCTTAGTTTTAATGCTCTTGAAGAGAGATTGTCCCCAAGTGACGAAC